TCTCCCCAGCGTGGTGCTTCCAGCCCTCCACATGAAGGCCATTTCCCACCGCTCTGGCCAGTGTCCCTCGTCCCCTTCCTAGCTCCGGGCAGCTGCCATGGGTTCTCCCCTGAGGGCAGAAGCCAGGTCCCATCACAGGGCCATGGGTGCCACCTCTGGGCGGGACAGGACCTACCTGACACCACGCATTCATTCGGGGCTGGCTCCCCAAAACCAAGAGAAGGACGCCCATGCATGCCCGCTGCACTGAGGACAAGCTGTTCACCCAAACTGTTTGCCCAAACTGTTCGCCCATCAATGGTAGCAAGCCCTGAGCATATGCAGGTTGATCTTTCTGAAAGGCTCCCATCCTGGCTACATTCAGCTGCTTTGTCATGCAAACGGCAAAAGGCACATCCCTGGAAGGAAATCCCTCTGCCTTTCTCAACCAAATTTCAGGTGTTGCAGAGGAGAGGGGCACCCATTGCTTTTCCATGGAGAACCTTTAAAATGCAGGAAAATGTATTCCTTCTTTGCCTAATGTTCAAAATCTGCCTAAACATTTCGCCTGAACTTTTACACACACACAAAAATGAAACAAATGAAGTAAGGCTTACATATGCCATGAGAAATTTTCCACCCAAACAGTTAAAGTTTGGCAAAGTTATAAAAACCTTGTTTGGCTACTTCAAGACTTGTGATGCTATCATTCGCCTATAATTTCAGCAAAATGAATTATTAATATATACTGGTTTCTGTTAATTACTGTCTCCTCCAGCAAGATTTAATTATCTCTGAGCCGAGCCCGAACCGTGCTCGCTGCAGCCCAGGGTGCATTTGCTGCACCCAGCGGGTCCGAGCGGCCTCCAGCAGCCCTCGATCTACAGCAGCAAACATTTGCACGGCAGGACAGAGCCTAAGGAAGGTGGAATCGGGCACCTCACAAAAAGCTGGGAGAAAGCAACGGGGGGAAATAAAATATGAGCAGACTGATTGAGCAGAGGAAGCAATGCAGAAACTGAGTCCTCTTCCCCTTGGTTCTGGTCCAGCCAGGTACTTTTACGTGCTGAACTAGATGCGAACAAATATCCCTGCTTGAAAGTTGGGCTGGCATTTCAGCACGCCGCTGCACCAAAGTTCATTTCTGTGGTCCGTCACAGCTCCCCTTCCATCTGCCAGTACCTGTTAACTCCACAGTGCAAAACCAATTATCCTGAGAGGGCCTGAAGTGCAGCATATACATCACTTGGAACGCCTTCACGTGCTGTCCGTGATACTGTTGCAGGATAAAAGAGCACCTGAAGCCCTGTGATCAACAATACATACTCGGAAATAGTTACTGTTTCCAGAACCTTCTCTTCCATGCTCTTCCTGATTAAAAAAATACATTCTTCCAAAGCCGACTGCCGGCACTGTACGCCTGCAACTTCTGTATTGTCAAAAGCAGCAGTGATATACTTCATCAGATAAACCTGGTGGGCTACATCAGTTAACAAACATCAAATCTAAAATTTGTATGAGAAGAGGGATTAAACCACCCATTTTGTTTTCCAGGGGAAAAAAAAAAAAAAGGAGAGAAAGATCACTGCATCTTCTCACCACCTGAAACTTGAAAAACGAGCTCATCATTTCCCAGAGACAGGCGGAGAATTTATCATGGATGCCAATTAATTGTAATCTGTATCTTACCTTTTGTGTAGTTTACCAACATGACAGTGGAGAGAGATAACCTCACTCATGTAAATTCATGCAACGTCATCTTTCCATGTTGGATTTTTTTTTTTCCAAAAATTATGCCCCAAAATCCACATACCCTCCAGAACCCTACGAAACCTCAGAGCTTTTCTAAGCAGCGGCAGGATGAAATGAGGAAATCACTGGTCAGATTTCCTCCACGTACGGAGAACCCCGTGGGCACCAACAGAAAAGTGACACGAGGCGAGTAACTTTGGCGCTGCTCTCCCACTCGGGAGGAGATAGGCGGCCACACCACCTGTAATGAGGAGCAGTTCAGACACACATCTGGCCAGCCAAAACGGACTGGAGAAACAATGACGGGGAAGCCTTCTTTTCCCTCCAGAGAAGCAGCAAGATAGGTGGAAAAGAGGAAAATGACGATCTTCCCTCGTGCAACCGGCTGAGACCAGACTCACATGACATTTGCAAGAAGGGTTGTGCACAACAGTGGAGCGAGGATGCCACGGCAGCAGCAACCAAGTTCTCTCTTCCCCAAGGTCCTCTCCCATGCCAAGCTGAAGAGCAATCAGCGGCTGACCATGGAAGCAGCTTGCTTCCATGTTGTTATCATGCATCCTTTTATTTTAAAGGAAATCATCGAGCCTCGTGGTAATTTTTAAGAAGACCCTGCATGCCTGCTGAACCTCAACAAGAGAGGGTTGCTTTTTGGGGGAAAAAAATAAGTTTAGAGGACCACTGAAGGATGAAGGTAAGAAGGAAGACCTAATCCCTTCAGAATTTCATTTTCCTTATTGATAGATAGATGGCCCTACTTGCAAATGCCTATAAAAGCATTGCTTGAAAGGGTGCATAACTGGATGTGCAAATTTGTGTGGTCTGATCCCTCTTTCCCCACGACTGAAAGTTGAGAGGGTTCAGCCACTCAATCTCAGCAGGACCAATCTCCTAATCTGAATTAATCCGATTCTCAGGAATCCTAAAAATAAGGAAGCGATAACCGAAGAGGCTGATAAGAAAAATGTTAGTCTTGTTCCTCTCGCAGCGAAGGAGGCCCCGCGTGGAGGAGCTGCTGTCTAAACACAGCCTTCCTCTGCCGGGTGGCCCAGGGGGCCAAGACAGGAGTTGTGTCACGGCAGCTCCAGAAGGGGAGGACAGGGCGTAACAGCACTTCTGATTCTTCTCTCTCCATCCTCTTGGTGTTTGCAGGTACGGTGCGTTCATCCTCAGTGCGTTACCTAGCCGCACTGTACAAAAATCTGGTGTTGGTTTTCCTGGAACCCATCTGTCTGCACTGCACGTTTGTTGTTAAGGTACCTAACATGGGTAATTCACCCCAAAGGTCAGGCAGGAGGGGCAGAGAGGAAGACCGTAAACTGAATGCCATCTTCGGAACCGATAATTTGCCAAGGGCTACTATAAATGACTTGCAAAACTTGTTTGCTTTTTTTTTTTAATAGAAATTACATAACCTCAAAAGACATAAATATTAAAGGCAGCTTACAGTGAGATGCCACATTACAAACACATTTGGCATCGAATCGGTCCGTAAAATATATCACAGCCTGGATTATGAACTGCACGCAAACGTGCGTGTCTTGCACACCTGAAAAACGTTCCTCAGCAGGCTGATCACACACCAGTCCTGACACTGTCACACGTCCTCGTGAGGAGCAAACAAACACGTCCCATGGAACGAGGCCACCCGAACCCAAGGCAGTGTATTTATTTTTTTACGTTACATTCACCCTGTTATTTCAAGTGTGTTTGGGGGAGCTGTTACTGGCAACACGTTTTAGGTACTTAAAACCATGAGCAGATACGACAAAGTTAAATTATAGATTTGTTACTAAAAACTTTCAAAATACAAATTATACGATTACAACAACCCTGTTGTTCTGGATTAAAGAGCTACATAGCACAGGAGCTGAGCGTACACGTTTCGCCTGCGATTCCCGAGCTAGCAGCCTCCCGCGGCTGTCAGAGCTGTGTTTTTACAGACGGCAACTTCAATCCGACGGCAACTTTTCCGAGCAGAGCACGAACTCGCGCATCACCTCGCTCGCAAGGCACACTGCGCGGCTACAGAGCGATGCAGCGCGAAGGGAAAGGAGAATGAAACCGGGAAAAAAATAATAATAACAAAAAAAATGAAAGTGTATGAACATTGCCACGGCGGAATCTGATTGAATAGGTTAAAGAGGAGCGCGGCGAAGATGGCACACGAGAACAGCCCGCAGCCCGTGCCATGCAGCAGCATTCCTCCGCTGTGTGTGCTAAGCAGCCAGCCGCCGGGCTCGTCTCATCTCTGCTGCCCTCCAAGGCAAAGGAAGCAAAAGGGGGTGAAGAGAGGGGGAAGGGGGGGGGTGAAGGGGAAGAGCAGCAGGGTGCTGGCGACCCCCCGTTAGCAGGGGGGCAGCATCTGGGGAGGGGAGGGGAAGGGAGGGAATGGGGGGGGGGGGGGGGGGTGCGCCCCGCGGCGCTGCGGGGGAGCAGCGAGGCGGAACAGCACCATCTAGCCGGGCCCCCGCAACTTTGCTCGGAGCAGGGCAAGGCAACGCGCTGGGAATAAATAAATAAATAAATAAAATATTAAAAAAATAATAATAATTAAAAAAAAAAACACAAACACATACACAAACGTTACCGGGTGGGCTCGCAGCAAACAGGAGGGAGACGGAGCAGAGGAGAGGGGGAGGGAGAGGGGAGGTTGTGCGGGGTTTTGGGTTGTGTGGGGTTTTGGGTTAGGCTCGCGGGGGTTTTTGGGGCAGGCTGCTGAGGCTCCCCCCGGGGCAGGGCTGGGGTTTGCTGTGGGGCTGCTGCAAAGTTCCTGCCGAGCTGCTGGGGGGGGGGGGGGGGGGGCAGGTGCCCCCCGCTCCACAACGACACCGGTTGCTCACCCCAACACCCCCCCACACACCTTTTTCACCTTTTACCCAAACTTTCATCGAGAAAAACAAAACAAAAAAAACCAAAACCCTCCCGCAACCACCGCGGCGCCGCTCCCCTCACCCTCACCCAGCGAGCGCTGAAAAGTTGCGGGAGCGGCGAAAAGGAGCCCCCCCCCCCCCCCCTTTAAGGGTGCTCTTTGTGTGCGTGTGGTGCCTGCCCCCCCCCCCGCCCCCCCCCTCACAGCAGCCGTTACCCCGCTCCCCTCAGCCGCTGCGCCCCCCCCCCCCCCCCTCCCGGTTTCCCGCCGCGCGCTTCCCGCCTCCCGCCTCGCGCCGCGCTCCGTTCCCGCCGCGCGCGGCTGTGGCGGTTGTTGCGCTGCCGCCCGCTGGAGGAGCAGCAGCAGCGGCGGCGGCGGCAGCGGCGGCAGCACTCACTTCTCCCGGGCCTGCCCGTCGGACGGGACGCTGCTGTTGCTCTTGCCTTTGCCGTACATGCTGCCTGCCGAGAGGCGCCGACTGTCACGCACCTGTCAACCCATCACGGCCTCCCCGGGAACGGCCCCGTCGCCATGGCGACGCCGCCACACACAGCGCCCATTGGCCGGCGCCAAGCCGGGACACGCCCCCCGCCCCCCCCGACAGCCAATGGGCGGCCGCCGAGACCGGCGGGGCTGCCTCCCGCCTCACGCCTCGCCCCCCCCCGCTGCCGGTTCGGCTCGGCTCGGCCCCTCCTCCTCCTCCTCGCCCTCCTCCTCCTCCTCCTCCTCCTCCTCGCCCTCCTCCTCCTCCTCCTCCTCCTTCTCTTCTCCTCCTCCTCCTCCTCCTCCTCGTCCTCTCCCCCCTCCCCGCTCGCGCTCTGCCTTCCCCGGCGCAAGGGGGAATTAGAAACGGTTGGAGCAGGATTTTAAACAACCGGCTGTTCCGGGCGCCCGCCGCCCCGCCCGCCGCCGCCGCCGCTGCTGCTGCTGGGCTGGGCGAGGCGCAAAACGCGGGGCGGATCCCACACGGGACGGGACGGGATCGGGGACACGCACACACGGGGAGGTGGGGGAGAAGGGATGGGGTCGTGACAGGGATGGGGACTGGAGACCCCCCCTCCCCCTCCCCGTGTGTGGGGATGGGGTCTGTGAGGTGGGTGGGTGTGTGGGGGGGGTGAGGGAGCTGGGTGAAGGTGAGGAGATAACGGGGTGAGGGGGGAGTGTGTGTGTGGGGGACACACACACAAACCAGGACAAAACCGAAAAAATAAAAATAAATAAATAAAAATAAATAATAATAATAAAGAAAGGGCACCAAAATCCCTTAAAATACAAAAAAAAACGCACACAAAAATACCACACGGACACTCAGGAAACGCACACACCGAACCTCTCACACGCAAACGTAACACCACACCACACACCACACACACAAAAATCACAACCAAAAACCAGCCATCTAAATAAAATCCAAGGAAAAGCCTTCCGTCGTTGCGTTTTCTCTTTATTTACATATATATATATTTATTTTTAAAGGTTACTTAGCGAAGACTCGCGTGCTCCCGGCACCCCCCGGGGCCACGCAGCGCTCGCTGTGAGGTTCCCCTCACAGACCCCACAGCTTCGGTCCGAGACGCAGCCCCAAACCCTGCGGACCCGCTCAACCTCCCAAATATTGGGGCTCCTTCGCACCCCAAAACCTGCCCACGTCTGCAGCCCACGCTGCGGGTGCGCGCCCACCCCCGCCTCAGGTTCGCAAGGCGAAGGGCTGCCCGAAATTTTACGAGGGAAGTTGTGTAGGGCAAAGACCACCAGCATCTGTTTATCATTGTTAGAAGAGCTGCAAGGAAAAAAAAAAAAAAAGTCCTCTGGATTTTGAGCTGTGAGAGTGAAGGAAAAACACTTGGTGAGGTGAAATTGTTTGGGGGGGGGGGGTGATTGAGAGAGTATTAATGAGCGACTGGAACAAATTAGTGGCAGAGCAGAGGAGACGAGAGGAAGGAGCGAGCCACTGAAGAGTGCTACAGGCTGGTGGCTGCACATGCACAATTCCCCATCACCGACTCCGGTTGGGTGGGATTTGCGCTTTTGCAACTCACTGCAGTAATTCACCAGATTAAAGCGAGCCGCAACAAAGACCATTATATACCTAAGTTGTTTGCCCGGCCCAGCCTTTCGCCCCACGGTGTGTATTGTACTAACAGGCCAGTGGGACGGAGCAGCTGAAGTGGGTCTCATGAAAGAAGTTAAATTGGGTTTTCCTCTGCCCCCAGCTGCCAGCAGCCGCCCCAGGCCTCCACACTGCTGCCCACATTCATGTCGCAACACCTACGACAGGGGAAGAAGGAGAGAGATCTGCCGACAACGGGCAGAAAAGTGGGAGTAGGAAGTGGGCAACAACGGGAGAAAATGAGCAAGAAGGGAGCGGGAAGGGAGGGTAAGAGGCTAACGGGACAAGAAGGAGGTGTAAATGGCCATGGGGGAGACCAGAAGAAGGAAACAAAGCACAAGAACAATGCGTGGTGAATTTGGGTGATAAAAGACGGGAAGGAGCGTGGAGGGGGAATCTGGGAAGGGCATGTAAATGAAGAGTGAACTGAGGGGATGCAGTTTGCCCTCATTGCTACCGAATAATACTTACATATCTTGTGCCATGGAGTTCACATGAAGGCTAGCCATGTGACTGATTGTATTCAGTGTGAATACGGGTAGCGGAAAATGGCACAAAGAAAGAAAGGCAGAGAAAGAATCGGGACAGAGAACAAAGGAGGACCTGGGTTGTGGGTGAAATACAAAAAATAAGAGGAGTTGAAGGGGAAGAAACTCATGAACATGGATGCTCCCTGGCAAACACACGTAGGATAGATGACACTTTGCTTTGGGGTGATCATAATCCGGAGTAAAATTTTCATCTAAATACGTGCTTGCCCTTGTGGAACAGCTGCTATCATCCCATCAGATACTTTGGCTGTCTCCTGCTGGAGACTTCATGTTGCCACCCATAGTATCAGCACAGCTTTCACATGAAACTGCAACAGCAGTGAAGTCCTTCTTGGACAAGGGAGTCTTCTCCACGTCTTTTTTTTTTTTTTTTTCTTTTATTTGTATTTGCTTTCTGCAAAATCTCTTTTCTGGTTTGCCTCAATAGTTTTGATTGATTTGTTTGTGGTTTGAAGGGCAGGGGGTTATTTTGAGGAGGTGGCTGTGTCAGTGTCATGTCACTCTTGTATGGGGAAAAGTCTTTTTTTTTTTGTGGAAACAAACTGTGTTGGGGTGTTTCCTAAAAATGGGATGAGGTGAGATTGCTCTGGTGTCCCCTGGATATGCATTCCATGGCAAGACTTCCACAGCTGAAAATCTTTGTTCCCGTTTTCGTGCAATTTGTTTGCATTCTTGTGATTTATTTGGTTCTGAAGAACTTGAAATACCTTGGGTAGAACAAGTTATGATCTGGGGGACTAATCCAGGCAGAGCAGAGTGAACTTTGAGAGGGCAGCCCTGGACGCTCAGAAAAGAGCAGGCTGAGCCTGTTCCCCCTAACAGTGAGTGTCAGAGCTCCTTCTCTTTTCAGGTATGGTTCCCAGACTACCATTAACATTCAGGTGATGACTTTGTAATTTTGCTTAGAGACCCTTCAGTGGAAGATACAGAAATAGTGCTGGTACTTATTTATTATGAATATCAGAAACAGAGCACAGAAAGGAATAAGGTATTCAGAGGACTCTGCTGTAGATCTGCCAGGCTAACGTTACAACTGCCTTTGCAGGAATGCTATCGTGGTGCATTATCTATCAGAGCCACGCAAACAAGACGTTGTCCCGTGGGGACAAGAGTTCGCCCAGCGGACAGGTACATTAAGACGAAAACATCCAAAGCAGTCCTATGAAGTTCCGTGTGCCATCAGTCCCTTTTTAAAGTATTTATGCACATGCGGTATCTCTGTATCTGTGCCCATGCTGAAATCGTTTTCAGCACAAACACTGCTCTTAGCAGTAGCAGCAGCAGTTGTATCTCATGAGGCCAATATTGTAATTAACGAGATTTGAGGCACATATACTGAGACGAATTTAAGTTTCTAATATCAAAAATGAAGATCCAGTGTTTGCTTAAAAGGGGGATGAAGGGGTGGCTGTACTTTAAAGCTTCTCAGTCCGACACTGGAAAGGAATTCGCAATGTATTTTTAGAGTGTTATAAAAATCTCTTACATAATGCTGATTAATTCTTAGGTTTTAGGGAAGAGCACTGGGCTTTGTGTGTAAGAGCGTTGACCAGCTAAGCCACTGAAGAGGGCTGGTTTGGTCTGGATTTTTTTTGGACTCCTTAGGTACAGAAAGCAGCAATTATTCAATTATTACAAGATTTTGCTTATGTTTGGGCGTGTATGAATATTTTTCTGGAAGCTGCATCTTATTCTTGGAAGTCTTTATCATTTTAAAACATATGCTATGTTATATCACCCTGTCTGAGATATAGGATAGCTACAAACTGTTGGTGTATTTTTTTTTTCCTCCCTTTTACTGCAGCTAGTTACATTATGGATTAACATTAAGAATGTCTGCAGTGAAACATTACTCCTGTGGCTGTGTAGGACTTACTTGAACAATGTAACTTGTATTGCAGAACCACGATTTTCCTCACACACTCGCAGTAATGTATGCAATTAATATATGCAATTAATGTACAGTTCTGCCCATTCTGTTGACTTTCAAAATCATCAATTAATCTAACTGGCAGCTTTCAGACAGCTCTTAACAAAGGCCTATTCAGGAAATTAAGCCAGTAAATGCGATTCCCTTCTCTTAATTCTAGTTATATATAGTTATTGCTGTGTAGCTGGAAAGATTTTTTGGACAAGATATCATGGGAAAGAGAAGCTTTTGTTTGGTCTTTTTCTACAGATATGTGACCAAGGCAGCTTTGAAGCCGTTCCCAAGAATCCTTCCTCCTTCTGTGGGATGCCTTATCTGTGGAGTTTCTGATTCTGAACTTCGTTCTGCAGTCCTTCACTCTTGTGCCATGCAGTTGAGGAAGAGTTGCTCAGGTGAGCGAGGTGAGCCCCAGACCTTTATTAGGGAATGAAGATGGCAGGAGTGCATGGTGCAGAAGTGTTAAAACAAAAGCTTTATTTGTCCCTGTCTTCCAATTGGGAGGGGATAAAAGGAAATAAAAGTAACTACAGTTCAGTGGCAGGGAGAACAGTATAAAGAGAAGTCTTGCAAAGGCTCATTAATAACCTGTTTGTCACCCAGGTCTCCTGCTGGCAAGGCCTCTCTCTTTTATGCCATGACACCTTTTATAGGTGTTTCTGCAGTTCCCCCGGAAGGGTTCTCCACCACCACGGAGAGTTAATCCTGCTCTGCGGTGCTGGGTTGCCTGAATTCTTTTATGTTAAAGGACACTTGTCCTGGGAGACGCAGAGCAGCTCACTGAAGGGAGCTGGGGGCATCTTGCAGCACAGAGCCACAGGACAGGGAGAGGAACTGCAGTATGCTGAAAACAGCTGGAAGAATCCGCAGCCTGCTACAGTTACTCCTCTAATACAGCCTGTCCTTGCCTGCTCACTCTCATTCTCCCATGAAACCTAAGTTACGGCCCTGCCTCCTCCTTGCTGTTTCTTTTTATTTATTTATTTTTCCAGAGAGAACCACAATTTGCTTATGCTTTTGTAGGAGGAGCAACGATTCCTTGCAGCTTTCTGCTACACGGTTCACCCGTGGAAGGGCCAGGTAGAATCCGAATGCATTCAGTTTAGAAATAAAACTTGGCGAGAACGAAACTGTCGCTGGGCTTTATTGCTCTCAGTGATGACTACATGGTTGCTCACGGGTGTAAATAAGTACATTAGCTTCCAGTTTGTGTGCAAGTGCAATGTGGAGTATCAGAAATTACCTGTAAAGGGCCTTGTGACGTACAGTCTGCATCTTAGTTCACACAGCAGAAGAAAACACATCTGTGAGTACTGTGCTCCTCCATATTAGCTCGTATGACTGGGTTCTCTGATGTGGTTTCAGATCGAGCCCTGATGTTTTTTCCACTGGAGGGGCTTTTTGCAGCATCTCTCGCTCGTTCTCTCACACACAGACTCTCAGATGTATGCATTCTCTGGTGCTGGCGAAGGCTTAACTTGCACTGCCTGTCTTGTAGAGACGCTCAGAGACAGTCTCTCCCTCCCCAGCCACATATTTTCACTAAAGTAATTGAACTGCTACTTTTTTGGCTGCTAAATTTGGTTGATATTTAGTTAATGGGTTAAAATGATGAATGACACTTGCATAAACACACATAACATGTGGGATCACCCTCCTTTCTGTTGTTGGCACGGCTGAAACTGGTTGTTCTAAGCTATCTGACTGAAACTGTGTGTTACCAGACAACCCAGTCCGTGAAAAAAATGGTGGGTAGCCTCAGTTACTGACTTCGAAGAACTGCTGAAAGTCACCGTCGGTGGTTCAGTGATATACCACGTCAGGAATGTGAGCTCATGCACTGCTTGTGCCAAAAGTAGAAGAAAACATCTCAAAAACAGGTCCTTCATCAGATAGATGTGAGGCTGACTGGGACCCCAGTCCTACACAGAGCGCTGTATGGGCAGATCTATCTCTGCGTGATGCGGGTGCAAGGATCTGTGGGTAAGGGCTTCACTGCTACACTGCCTCAGCTCCCACTTTTAGCATTTAGTGCTGTGCTGAAAACGTAGAATTGAATAAAAATTGCTTTTGTTTTCAGGGTCACCAAACTCAGCAGTATGTTACAAGAAAAGGATGAGCCCAGTGTGGAGTTGCTGATAATTACTGAGTTGGTTTGACGTATGCAGACTGCTGTTGACTTCAGTGGTCTTATTTAACACATTTGTTTCTTTGCATTTTAGGAGTAGTCAAAACACAATTTTGTGGGCCTTAATCGATGAGGCTGCGTATCCTGGACTTTAAGCCTGGAGTTGCACACGTGTATCAGCAGGAAAAAAAAAGTTTGGCCTTAGCCAGCAATTAATCATGACTAGGACAAATAACCTCTTCAGAACACTCAGGATTTTTACTTTTATTAATCTCTGTTCATAAAAAAATATTCCAAAGCAAGCAGTAGCACTCACAGTAGAGATCTGGGGAAATAAATGGCCAAAGCTATCACACTGTGACAGCTTTGGCAAACCTTTGCACAGTTTTATAAAGCAAATACATGTGATGTTCTATTCTCTGGATAGCTCTTTACATTAGATGTTCGTACTTGAATAAAATGGTTTTCTCTCCATGAGTTTACTGGGCACATAATGGTGAATTCGATATCATCCCAGTGGTGTCCCATGTTAGCCATGCCCATCAGCGCATTCAAGCATATGGCAGTTTTGAGGAATGTTTCTGCTTTTTTTGATGTGTGTGACCCAGCAAAGATGAAAATCATTTCAGACTGTATTATGGGCTTAATATTCAAAGGAGCTCATTCCTCTGGATCCCCAAAATCTTAGGAGATAATGTTGTTGTCCGTGGTCTTTTTAAGAAGCACAAAATATGCAGGTGGACTCTGGTAGCTGACTATTATTAATTTGTTTGCTTTCCACACCAACATTTGAGCACTTCCTTCTTTTACTTTTTATGAACTATTCAAGATTTTCATGTTGAGTTAGGGATAGATATGCTGAAAACTGCTAAAATTTCACTCCGTTTTGGACCTGGGGCCCAGGAAGAGGGTGGTGGTGAAGACTGAAAGCATTGGCATGTACCAAATCAAAGCTATACTAGATCTGACTGATAGTTTAACAGCTCGCCGATAGCAGTGTTTAAAGTAAGAAATAAAACTAGGGTGTTATTCATTCATTTGTACTTGTGCATGTTTTGTTTCTCTTCACCTTTCAAGAGGTCACAGATTCATAAATGAACATTATGGGAATACGATCCCTGAAACCTACTGAAAAGTCCATCAAAATAACATGGAAAATTGAGTTAAAGTGCTCGATGGTATATGGAATCCAGAAAGATAATGTTTGTTTTTCACACAGTCTTTCATTGAACCAAAAGCAGTTGAAACATTTTTTTCATTTCTGAGTTTCAGGTAATATGCACTTCAGAATTTACTTTGTTGGTATTTTGGGCTTTTCACGGGTAATTGGGAGATATGCAGAACAATAGCAAATTCAGCCCCTGTTACAGCTGTGTGTTACAGGCACAATTACACCAGAGGAACCAAATTATAAGCAATTCATTCTGGTCTCTCTAAAGGCACAGAAGGGTAAGGCAGAGTTATAACTGGGTATAGGCAATGTCACAGCACTGAGGAGGGGAACCCTTGGACTCCAGATACCTTCTGTGATAACAGCACAGAGGGATTGTGAAGGTAATGTGCTCCTTTGGTTCGTCTTTGAATATTTCTCGCTTCCTAGCTTGAATAGGTAAACAGGTAAAAGGCAACTGTGCTCTGTAATGTTAACACGTGAAAATCATTTTCGAGGTTTGTTTTGGTTTTGTGCAGCAGATTGTTTTGCGAGACAGAGCCTTTTATAGAAACCAGACTATTACTTGTATTCGTTGGCATTTGCATTTATAAAAGCTACTCATGTTTACGCACACACACACACACACACACACACAGAGGTGATATTGTTCATATATATTGTTCATCTGGCAAGGAAGAAATAAAAAAAGAAATTGATACCAGTCTGCATATGTGTTCAAAAGCTTAGTGAATTCTTCGAGCTCTGCTGTGGATCAGGTTTCATGAAACTGCAATAAAAAAATCTTTTTTTTTTTTACCTTGTCTCTGTGTGTTCTGAGGTGGGTTTGTAAGGTTTGAATTACTAGGTAATCACCAAGAAGTCTCCTTTCATGAGCCTGCAGCTGGGAAATGGACAGTTTAATATTAATGGAAAGAACAAACTCTCCATCTCCTTTCTCTTCCCCTTCCTCTCTGCACTTTTGCTACATCATTTTGTTCTCTGAAGTCCCTATCCGAAGATCGCCTTCATGGAAATCCAGGACAAACTACAAAGTAAGAGTTGACATTTTGTCAGAATCCTTTTACTGACTTCAGTGAGGACAGAAACACATGAATATTCAAGATAGGAACATCCCATTCACTGATGTATCTGCACTTATTTATCCATCTAAGAAACTAGTGTTAAATCGATCTGCAGGCTTTCTTTACAGAACATTGTACCATCACCATGCCAGGGGGAGGTATGGAAATAATCACTCTGGCTTCTCAGAGAGGAAAAATATTAAACACTTATTGAAAACAATTAGGCACAAATGCTTGAACTTTAATAGAAATAAATAGTTGCACAGTTTCAAAAATGTGTTATATATCTACACCTATGCTGTCTGTATGGCATGGGTGTCTTTATAAATGCCATTAACTTCCATCATTTCATGACATATCTAGGAAGATGTCTGGACAATACACCTTCCACTGCCATTCGCCTCTCAATCCATTCTGCCTTCGATTTCAAACAAGCTGAGCTGTATGAAGCTAATCGTCAAAGTTTAACATCACATTTTTGTAGATTAAAGGACGTTTATCCATATACTTTGTCATTTAAGCCATCTGCGAGAAATCCAGTGTGATGGATGAGAAAGGACAGTCCCAGAGCAGCGTCTCCAAGGACTCCTAGGTTTGAGGCAGACACAAAGTCAAGCCTTGCTGGTCTCTTTGCACGCAAAGGGATGTGAGAGCCTGTGGGGACCCTGCAGAAGTCATGGGACTGGGCTGAACTGAGAGCTCCAAAAGGTTTCCTGTTTCTCCCTTTCTGGATATAAATAGCGCATTTGAATAAAAACCTTTGCTGTTTACTTTTCTGCTGTTCTCTTGAATTACGCTTTGCATGTCTGGTGGCGGTATTTAGGGAGCTGGACTGAGTGAGCTCTCCTGACCTCTTGTTTTGGCCCCGGCGAGATTTGCTTGTGTGGACAGATGAATTCTCATGCTTGAATCCATTTGCTTTCCCCCGGGGTGGGCTTTCTGTCCAATGCAGGACAGCACTATGGGTCTGTGAGGAGAATCAATCCCTGGCCTGAGCAGCTGGAGCCGGGAAGGTTACAAAAGGAAGTGCTGGGCAAGGGAACAGAGATGCCTTGGGGGTGCCTGAGGAGCTGTGACTCCTCCCATCTGCTTCATCTCTTTCTCCTCCTGTTGAGTTCTCCACATATTTACTGCTGATGGTCTGGCTAGCATCTCAGTTTCCTGGGTTATATGGGTAAGAATCCTGAAAGCTAAGGTGAAGTGTGGTATTTTATATATATATTTTAATACCCAATGTCAAAATTTACAGCTCAGCTTCATGATGCTTACCTGACCCCTGTGGTAGCCCTTTCCCCCTGGTGATTCAAAAGTTCAAAATAACACTTGAGAAGCTGAAATGTTTTAATTTCTTTCATGTCCTTCCCCCGACTCCCCTTCTTTTAATTGTCTTCTGCACTTAAAAAAAAAAACAACACCTGCTCTTCCAACTAAACAGAGATGGACACTTGTCTCTCCAGAGCTTACATTGCCCCAAACCTCAGGCAGCATGAGCTTTGCCTGCCTAGACCATCTTGCAGTATAGATTTTAGTAATGAAGAAAGAGGTGCATTTTTTCTGTATGACTGTGGGTATTAAAGAAGAGTGTGGGGTCAGAAAACAGTACTTGAGAAGCTCCTCCTGGGCCTGGAAGGGCATCGTGTCTGATTAAGACAATTTACTTAATTGTAGACATTGGTGAACGAACAGAGATCCGGAGGGGCATGTACATGTATATGAAAGAGGAGGACTTTTTAATTTCACAGGCTGGCCTCAGGGGTTTTGGTTCAGAAGCAGACAGAAGTTATATAGAATTCCCAGAATACAGCTGGTGCACCCATAACTGCATTGGCTATAATAGGATTTTTTACTGTGCTAGGAATGAAATATTGGGCTCTCATTGTTATCTTTCCTTGTGCAGCTGTAAAGAATTTATTTGTGAGTTTTACAATATCCAGAGGTGGTTCCTTTGTACCCTTTTTCAATAAAGTTGAAATGCCAAAAGTTTTTCAGTTTCTTATTACTCTCTTTGCCCAGTAGAAAACCCCTGTAGCAATCCTGAAGCTGGTATGTCTGTCCTATCCTGAATCATTTTTGAAAGAGACCATTTTAATTTCCCTGCATAGCTCGTTCTCCTAATGCCATTTTCAGTTAGCCCCAATATTGAGTCTTTTCCAGTGTGCCGAGTTCCACAAGCTCATACCACACTAGCGAGACATTTATTGGTTGTTCTTAAATGCTACTTTATTTTATCTATTCTTGACAAGACTCCAGGTCATATCTCAGATTTTAGGAATTCTCTGCTCAATGTACTGAAATTTCTTGTAACCCTGAAGTGTCCCCACCTTAGGAAACAAAAAATGTTGTATGTGAAATTGGGAAGTTTCACTAGAAAAATATACCCAGTTGGCCAGAATACTAAGGAATCGGGGAGGCATTTCATTCCCATGCGCTAGCTTTCTCATGGACCCTTTTTGCTGGTTTGGTTTGGTTTGGTTTGGTTTGGTTTGGTTTGGTTTGGTTTGGTTTGGTTTGGTTTGGTTTGGTTTGGTTTGGTTTGGTTTGGTTTGGTTTGGTTTGGTTGGAGGAGAGAGAGACTACAATACTTACAGAGTTTGGCCCTGATTTCTCATTGCCTGAAGTGGAGGCAGGAGTAGGTACTTGTTCAGACTTCCCAAATACTCCATTTTCCACCATCATTTGGTGGCTGCTTATGAGAATCATTCTAGATTTTATACTGTAGTTTGAATATATTTGATACTGACAAACATATTCCTTTTTTAAAAACCTGTCAGTATTTTGTCAGTAACTTTAATGTTAATGGAAATGAAAAAAATAATCTAGCTAAGAAACACGCAACCGTAGACTCCATTTTAGGTTATATTTCTCTTTCTCCCTGCATACTAATTCTTTAAAATCAATTCTATCAATTCTAAGAAATACAGTTGTTTGTTGTTGTTTTTTTTGTTTGTTTGTTTGTTTTGTTTTTCCACTGAGACTTTCTTCCACTGTTTTTTGTTTGTTTGTTTTGTTTTGTTTTGTTAGTTTGTTTGTTTTTTTATGAATCCTGTTTCACCTCCATGGGTGTTTGCAATGTCTAGGGAAACAATGCATTTTAAATTCAAGTGTAGCAGCGCTGATCATGCGGTCTATTCGTGACCAAGTTTCTCACTGAAACCAGGAAGGACCATGGTGTAGGACAAGGCATTAGTGCTAAGAAGTAAGGAGATAAAACCAAGTTTTGGAAGGACAAGAGGGGAA